ATCGCCGCCGCCATCAAGGGCGTGGACGGAATCGGGCTTTCCAACGCCAAGATCCGGCTCTACATGCGTGAGACACAGTCCAAATGGCGCGACATGGGCGCTGCCAGGCTGACCATCATGCCTGCACCTCCGGAACCCCGCGATGGCGGCAGAAGTGATTCGAACACTTTCTCGGACGGCATGGACGGTAGTCCCCCCGGCTCTGGGGCCGCATCTCCCCGTCGAGCGACGGAACCCGAGAAGCGTATCCTCATCCGGGGCAAGACCCGCGGCGAGGTGCTCTTGGACGTATGTCTTGGCGAGAGCTGCTTCGAGCGGGTCGCCCGGACCGGTATCGCTGTCTCTGTCTGGGAAGAGACCGAGGGCGGCGCCATGCCCAAGAAGGGCGGTGTCATGGTGGGAACCTCGCGGATCTACATGATCCAAATGAAGAGCGAAGCCGAGGCCGCGTACACATTTGGACTTGTTGGGAAGTCCAAGTATTAGATGGACTTTGTTCATCGCTGGCTGAGACCACCTCCCCCTCTTTCTTTCTTTGCTTTCCCTAATCATGTTGAATACTTACCTCAAGCCAGATATCTTTCTATCTTTCCATCTATCTCTTCATCTCTCCCCCTCACTTTACGAACAGCATGCCCTGGTTTTCAGCGTTCTGTTATGTGTTCTCCTGTCTTGCTGCATGTCCTGGTTCGTCTTTCTTTGTGTCGCTGCTGTTGAACTTCTGCGCATACCCATTCTCATACCCATTTGCTTGCGCCCCCCTTTGGGAAGCTGTGTGTAATTAGCTTCTAGTATACATTATGCACACCTCAATAATGATTAAATGATCTGTATACCCACATCCCAGAGATGTATCATCCTAGAATTGTTAGACTTGGGAGCAGTAAAAATCAAGGCTCATTGAAGTTTCTCTGCATCGGCATCTCTCCCCTCGGTTACTCCTGCACCTGCGAACATGACCAATGAAGCATAACATCATACATTCAGTAGCAGGAGAAAAGCCAAAGTGAAGAAACAAAAGAAACGGATATATTTCGATATCTATACCCTCTAGAAATAAGACCTTTCTTTGTACACATTACACCCAATACCCTTCCAAAAAGTCTTCGGTTCCATTTTCATAGCCTCATATCGATAAATTATACCATCCGGGATCAACATCCCCGAGAAGAGACGACAAAAGCCGAGGGTCCCATGGATCATCAAATCGAGACGGGCCTCTTCTTCTGCGGACCGGATACGGGGATTTATATCCTGGCCTTCTAAACTCCCGAGCTACCGCTCGACTTCTTGAAGATATACCCCACTCGATTCCCCTCGTCCCGCAGCATCGCAACAAGGACCTCGTCGTCGATGACGGATTCCATCGCCACGACGTCGAGAGATTTCGCCTCGTCGTCGTCGGCCGGGGCGGTGAGGTGGTAGGGGTCGATGTGGCGGTACTGCGCGAGGGACTGCTTCATCCGCTGTTTCTGGGAGGTGGGTTTTCTTTGGGGGGGAGGAGGTGGGGAGGGGTTGGAGGGGGCTTGACGGCGGGAGGAAGTCCTGCGCGTGTTTGGGGCACTAGATATCTGCTCCTGTTTCTCCATGTCGAGCTGCGAGGCCTTGATAAGGGTGGGGATGTCGGGGAACTCCTCTGCGTCTGCACCTTCTTCTGCTTCCGCGTCAGACGGGGGGACGGTGTCCCCCTCCTCCTCCACTTCTCCTCCCACCTCACCATCATTATCCGCCGTCTCAAGAGACGCTTGTTGTTGTTGTTGCGGTTGACCAGTTCCTCCACACTCACATCCCAGCAACACATGCGTCTGACATCGACTCTCCTCGTCTAATCGGAACAGATCCCGGAGCTCATCGCGCGAAAACTGTGCCATTGATGACGATGAGGTAGCAGCACCGGCACTATCCGATGCCGTCGCCGCCGCCGCCGTCGCCATTACGCTGTCCGCCAGACCCAGCTTCGTCACCTGCCGTTGCCAGATCTTTTCCTCGAGACTCCCCTTCAACAGGATCCGGTAGATCCGACACGGCCGCTTCTGGCCGTCGCGGTGGATGCGCGCCATCGCTTGGAGGTCGGTGGCCGGGTTCCAGTCGACGTCGAAGAGCACCAGGCGGCTGGCGCCGATGAGGTTCAGCCCCGTGCCGCCGGCTTTGGCGGACAGGAGGAACGCGAAGCAGAGGTCCGACGGAAGGCGGTTGAAGTCCTCGACGAGGGCGTGCCGTTTCTGGGCGGGGGTGGAACCGTCGAGGCGGAGGAAGGGGAGCGAGAGGGACGTGAGGAGGGTGGCGAGGAGGTTGAGGGTTGAGGTGTAGTTCGAGACGAGGACGATCTTCTCCGCGCGGGACGAGGTGCGGAGGTGGTGGAGGAGCTGGTCGAGGACGCGGATCTTGGCGCTCGATGACGGGGAGAAGTGCCGGAGGAGATTGGGAGGCAGGGAGGCGAGCAGCGCGGAGATGGTCGAATTAGGCGAGCTCTCCTTGTCTTCATTGGCCTTGGGCGAGAGGAGGGACGGGCTGTTGCAGAGCTTCTTGAGGATGGTGATGAGCTGCAGCGCGCTCTCGGAGTTGCCGATCACGCTCTGGAAGATAGGCGACGCCAGCACGTTCTGGTAGATACTGGCTTGCGTGCGCGTCGGGTTGCAGAAGAGGACGTACTCGGACTTGGGTGGGAGGTATTTGGCCAGAATGTCGGCCGTGCGGCGCAGCATGAACTTGGAGGTGAGCTCGCGGAGCTCCTCATTGCGGGCTTCGCCCTTCTCAATGTCCTCCTCGGTGGCTTCGGGTTGTCTGCTCTTGACGATGGGGATTTCAAACTCCTTGATGAAGGCCTTGAAAGTGCCCAAGACGCCCGGGTTGACGAGGTCGACGGCAGCGAAGAATTCCTTGAGATCGTTCTGGATCGGGGTTCCAGATAGGATGACTCGCTTGGTGGCATTCAAGGACTGAATGGCCTGTCCGCTCTTATTCTGGAGGGTCTTCAGGCGATGTCCTTCATCGGCGATGATGATATCAACGCCACTACCTCTGGCCAGTCCCTCCTGCACCGTCCTCAGCTTCTCGTAACCCACTATCATGACACTGTACGCCTTGCCCTTGGTGAAATCCGTCAGCCGCTTGCGCTTGTCGTCAAAAACGAAGACCCCGATGCGTTCATTGCCGAGCCACTTGCGAAACTCCTTGCGCCAGTTACTGATCAGCGTCACCGGACAGACGATGAGCGCCTTCTTTACAATTGGGGAATCCCCATAGACGGGGTTCTGCTTCAGCAGCGTCCACAAGAGGGTGATGGTCTGCAACGTTTTGCCTAGGCCCATGTCGTCCGCCAGAATCGCGCCTTCGCCATTGAACGAGCGCATCCCCATGACACACTCGTAGAGGAACTGCACTCCCTCGCGTTGATGCGGCCGAAGATGTTTCGCCAGGATCGGATCGACGACCACATCAACGACTCTCTTGCCTTTGGGCACCGAATCCGGGCGTTTCATGACCAACGCTCCCGGCTGCGCGGGGTCATGCCGGGGAACTGGCATCTCTGTTGAGGTGGAAGTCTGTGGTATCATCGCGGAATCCAGCAGTGGTCTCTTGTACGCCCCAGAAATGCCACCCTTCCTAGACGCCGGGTTCGCGATCCGGATGGGACTCGGTTTGGAAGACTCATCCTCCTTGCCCATCTCCCCCTTGGTGTTGAGGCCCGCGCTCCGAAGCGACACAGAAGCCTTCCCAGCCGCTGCTGTTGCCGGAGGTTTCGTAACCGCAGCATTAGTATTGACAGCCGATTCCTTCTGCTCAGCACCTGACAGACCCCTCCCAGTCAGATACTCTCCCCTAGAGACCTCACAGTCGATCTCGACCTCCTTCCCGGCAACCGATAACATCACGCCAGCCTCCAACGACCGGGTCTGCGATACCATCCCGCGCCCCATATCCTTCCCGGAGGCATGATCGAACATATACGCATACCCATCCCGGACCTTGATGATCCCATCCCCATCCCAGGTTTTGTTTTTCTTGGTCGTGACTTTGCGCCTGTTCACACACACAAAAAAAAGAGAGGATTAGTCCTGCTCGATCACTTCCGCGTCTGTAGAAACACAACAACCCACAAAAAGGACAGAGACATGAAGACAATGTAAAAAGAGAGTGAGAACTCACCACAAAACATTAAAATACCTCTCTCGGACCTCGCCCGTCGTCGCCTTTCCGTCCTCACTACCCCTCCCGGCCCCGGCCCGCGCGCCTTCTTCCCTTGCCCCCTTCAATTTCAATGTATCATTCCCTGACACCTGAGACGACAGGGAGGAAGTTGTAGACAAGGTCGCCCGCTCCTGCGCCAAGCACAACAATGTTCCTCGCTTCCTCTGTTGTTGTGATTTCGTCGAGGCACTTGGGAGAAGTCCCCGGTTCTCGATCCCCGTTACCGCAGGATCCAGATGGAGGCGCGGTTTTTTCGTCGGCGGCTCCCCCGTGGGGTCTGTGGTTTCTGTGGCGTCGGCTTCGGGAGTAGGAGCTGTAGCGGGAGCATCGGGAGTGGTCGCGGGAGTGGATGGAACGGGCTTGCGGATCAAAGGCGACTTGAAAGGTTTAAAGACCATAACGCCTTTGGATCCGAGGAGCAGGGAGAAGGATTGCTGTGTCGGTGTTCTGTTGAAGAGGTCGGGTGTTCTGCCGCTGTTACTGATGCAGGCGAGGATTGGGACGCGCCGGGACGCAACGCGCGATCACGTGATACATGAGATTCGTGGTTGCCCTTTTGGGGTGCGGAGTATAACTGTGACTCTTACTAAACTATAGGTAGCGCTGAGACCCTACCTGAGCGTTGATGCTGTCGAGGATCGGCTCTATTCAATCCCGGGCTTCGAATACAAAGACGAATATGTGCTCTGCGTGTGTATTCGAGACACGCGTTTGAGAAAGACCGAAAATGGACCACAATCCTGGACATGCAGCACGTCTACTGGGGTGAGCATGATCTCCAACAACTTGCTTTGACGGATACTATACTCGACCGCAAGTGTCTCTCAACAGGGCGTCTTAACAGACGGTCAAAAGGATGCTTTCATCTCTTTATCCCGATACCACCGGGCAATCTCCCCGGTCTGACAGAACTCCACCTCCTCCCCCCACCCCTGCAGCCAGCGCAGCAGCCGCTCCAACATCCCAATGACATGCGCCATCCCGCTCGTGTCCGGATGCATCAGCACCGGGAAGATGGGCTCCTCCTCGTTCTCGCGGATCCACAGGAAGCGGTCCTTCCACAGGTTCTCGATTACCCGCACGTCCGTGTAGCCGTGCGAGTTGGGCGCGTGCGGCAGGAACTGCATCGGGGTCATGTCCTCCATGTACCAATTGCAGGGGACGCAGACGAGCGGCCGACGGTCCGCGGTGGTCTGCGGGATCGGGTGCATCCAGGTCGAGGCGGGGCGGGCGAAGTTGATGGGCTCGAGGGGAGGACGACGCGGGGCGAAGAACGGATGGCAATCGTGGTCGGTCAGGGAGGCATCTGTTTGTGTATCAACAACGAGGTCAGCATTTTTTCAAAGACGTACGCGAACCGGACGGTGACGAACAGACCGTATTCGAAGCCAAATTCCTCGAGAAGATCCATCGTCGACTCGCGCAGCTGGTACAGGGGCGCCCGATACCCGACGGGTTTCTTGCCGGTGAGCTTGGTGGCGATTTCGATGCATTTGACCAGGACGTCTCGCTCTTGCTCGACGGTGAGCTGGTAGGCGCCCTCATGGGCGTAGCCATGCAGACCGATCTCGCAGCCCGACTCGACCACCTGCCGGACCTCGTTGGGGAAACTCTCCGCGGAGTGGCCGGGGATGAACCACGTGCAGCGGTCCGCAAGGTTGAGCTTCTTGAGCATGCGTATAAGTCGCGGAACACCGACTCGGGCTGCGAAGAACCCGGCCGAGTAATCGGCTAGAATGTTGTCTGGATGTTGCCCTGTAGTGTGCGAAGAGGAAAGGATTAGTTTGCAACACAACCTAGGAGATGGAAGCCACGAACCCGTTCCTAGCCATCCAGAGACCGCATCCAAATCGATGGATACGGCAATGCGAATCTTGTTCCGCTTCGGCTTGGTCAAGGCTGGTGGGATGGACGAGGCGATCGAAAGCACCGTACTTTCAGCCGTCAGCTTCTTCGGCTCATCGCTTTCTTTCCAAACCAGACGCCCCTCCATGCCACCGTCGACACTTAAGCACTGTCCTGAGATATGCCCAGCTGCGCGATGGGAGGCCAGAAAAGCCATGGTACGAGCCACATCCTCAGGTTTAGCAACCCTCCTCAATGGCACGCTATCACATAAGTCAGCGACATCCTTGAGCTCCACGCACAGGGAGTGGTTAAGCTCACGTTGCCTGAGCCTCCGCCCACATCTCCTTCGGATCATCCAGCCGACCTTCGATCATGGGCGTGTCTACCCACCCCGGAGCAACAGCGTTGATTCTCGCCTGGCTATTGAGCCGAACAATCTCATTCTTCACGCTCTTTACCAAACCATACTGCAAGCCCGCCTTCCCAGAGGCATACTCGGCGTGTCCCTCTTGACCAAACTTGCCCGTCTCACTGCCTGTCACGACAATGGCCAGGTTGTCCAACTCCCTGCCCAGCGTCTGCTGTGACAGCTGTGCGGATCGAAGAAAATGTTTGATGGTGAGAAAGGTTCCGCGCACATTGACGCGATATGTCCTTTCCCAGGCTTCCAAGGGAAGCTCCCAGATCGGGTAGTCCTTGCTCTCATCGGTGATGCCGGCGTTGGCGATGAGGATGTTGATCGGCCCGAAGCGCTTGCTGGCCTGCGACACGCTCGAGCGAATAGACTCCTCGTCGGCGATATCGCCTCGGAGAATGTGAAGTCGTGCGTAGACGTCAGCTGGTGCGTGGGCAAGCTCTAAAGGCTTAAGATCTAGTGCAGTGACTTTGCATCCTTGGTCTATATGTTTCGTAAGCACCATTCCATAGCAGGACAACTCCCATGCACGACATATCTGCAGACAGCTTATGTATGCATGGCAATCAGGCTCTCAACGCACAAGCCTAAGCTTATATCATGAGCCCCCGGGAGTAATGGTTGAAGAAAACAAAACGTCTCTCTCACTTACCCAGAAACTCCTGCACGGCTCGTCGACCAATGCCACCCGCAGCTCCCGTAACGAGGACATGGAGCCCGTTCAGCCCCAAGAAAGAGGAAGACATAGGGGAGCTATGGCTATGCTGATGCTCTAATCGGGTGTGGGAGCGGATAAGACTGATCCCCTATAGTAGTAACCGAGAGAGGACAAGCCGTTGCGACGACGAGCCTAGCGTTGATGATAAGCAACTTAATCTTACTACAGGTGGTCAGCCAATCAAGAAGTACCAGTGTCCTCCAGATGCAGCGTCTATCTGGAAGATCAGATATGCACAAGCGCTTACAGTGCAAACTGCTGTCCTGCAGGGCATAGGGCTGGCTGCAGGGGTGCAAAAGAGGACGTGAGACGCACCCGATATAGTGGATCTTCGTACCACAAAATGGTAAGCCAACTCAGTAGACCAACCCAAGAATTGTTCATGATGTAGACAAACAACGTTCACCTTTCACCTTTCAACCTCTATGCTATCCGAGATGCGCATCACGTGCCTCCTCCCCTCCCCTCCGTTGCGATCGGGATTACGACAACCGAACACTAATGAGTTCTCAAGGGCCTACAACCAGGCCTCGATAACAATGCCCCTCCCCTCCCCTTAAAATCACCGATATTGACCCCCTGCATGCATGCAGACGCCGGCCTTCTTAGTGCCATTACTTCAACAACCCAACGATACTAGGCGCGGAGGATGACAACGAAAACGGTGTTACTGAGCCGAGCATCCAAACGAGCGAGAGGCATCTCGCCCTTTTACCCCCCCGTCCCTGTGCAATGGATCCTGCCCTAGCCTCGCGAAGGATCTAGTCCGTCGAAATCCTCCTCGTATGTGGCTGTGGGCGGAAATGTTGCGTGGTCGTTGAACAGGAGGTGTACCCAGGAAGTTAGTCCAGAGACCCGGCCAGATCCAGCGATGCTGCTAGCCCGAAGGTCGGTTCAGAAGGAAACTTCAGCCTGTACGGAGTATGTAAAAAATCCCAACGCTAGATCAGCCTTTCACTTTCAGGGACGAGAGTCGGCAAATTCTTGGGTAAGCACCGTATGCTGTACAGGACCAAGCTAGCCGACGATCGCGAAGGTAAGGTATTCAGTAGTGCCGACATCCGGCGATGAGATCCTTCCATCGTATCCCAAGCTACGCAGTCTATACGGGACCGACCCAAATTGACTCAAAACACGCAAGGGGCCAATCGCGCGAAGACTGGTGCCGACTGACTTCGAACGACAGCAAAGTTTGGTACGGTCCAAGTCTGTGCAGCGAGGATAGCCACATATTGGCAGTTGATCAGCGATATAAGCCTTCGTGCGAGAACCCCCAAGGCGGAAAGGTTGGAGGCATTGGCTTTCGACCATCCGTATTTCCGAAAGTATGCATTGAGAAACGGAGAATTCCCCGTCAAGCATAGGCCCGAAGAGTCGCACTGCAATTGTCCGGAGCCGGGGGGATGGATGATTGAACCTTGAACTGTGGTTGCCCCTGGTGCCTGGCGCTGGCCTGGACCTGCTCACTCAGTTTTCTTTTCCCCCTCCCCCTCTTTTCCCCCTCCATTTGCGAGGGAAAAACGAAAAATCTGCCACAATTTATTGGAGCAGCACACGCACCTTGGCCTTCTTCCTGGCTGGCGAAGAGAATTTAATTTAAACGATAAATCAGTATCGCCCCGTGGATATTGCCCCATCGGGTGAGGGTGACGAGTACGGAGACCGTACCGCGAGAGGTATTTTCCCGGGGCCGGGGTTTCCCGTACCCTATTAAGCTGTCCACAGTACTACTTCATACAGCGCAGTACAAGACAGGGTCTTGGCCCCCGTGGCGGCGCCGGGCCGCACTGTCTGTATTGCCCACAAGACTCAAAAGCCCGGGGTTGACGGATGGATGAATGGATACCTTTCAGAGCTAAGTGTGTTTTACGTACCGACGCATCCCACTCTGTCTGTCTGTCACGTTCCAGCAAACAAAACGAAAGATCTGATCGGGCTACTCACGTGATTTTAAGACAGCATGTGTAGCTGGAACCGAACATTGGACTTCGTATCAAATGAGTGAGTACCCATGGTCCTGGTGCTACTCGTATCTCTGTCCATTGGGATCCGTTCGTATTTTGTCTATCCGTGGTATACCTGGTCGCCCAGACCAATGCTCGTCATGATCACTCGGCTGCGGGACGAATTCCCCACCCACCTATCATGCTGATCAACGATGGGGTGCCGAGCAATTTCTATATATACAAAGTTTGGTTGCCAATCAGGCGTCGCGGGCAGATCATGCCATATGTGTAATCAAGATCAAGCACAGAAGGGAAAGAAGTCAAGGAGGGTGTGAAAGGAGTGGAACGAAGGTGGGGTAGTAGAAATACTGGTAAGAAGTTATAGAGAATCGAAGATAGAAGATGGAAGTGAAGTGAGTGTAGAAGATCGAGCCACTTAAGACTCTGGATGTTGGTTTGCCCCCGCGGCCCGAGAATCCCAGTACTCGGGCGGTCGTGTTTCCCGCTCCACAGTGACTGTGACGTCCTGTCGAATGCGGAGGGCTCGCTCTGAGCCGTCGTCACTGGGCTCGCGCTCATCAAGCGGTTCCGTGCTAACATCCGACACAGCCTTGCTGGGAGCCACAACAGTGCTCTGGTTATAGGTGCGCATGCTGAAGTCTCCGGACCGCAACTGACTGTGAGGCCCGTAGTGTTGGTACGCAGACCCCTTCGGCGCGTATGGGCCTGTTCGATAGCGGTCCGTTCCTCGGTGGGACCCTCCAGTCCAGCTCTTGAGGGCAGGGAACACATCACGGAGGAGAGACCACACCAAGGGAAGGTTGGTAACCAGAATGGCGACGGTTGCTTCACGGAAATACCAGTTCATGTAAACGTAAGAGATGAGCGATGGTACCAAACAGTAGAGTTTGTTCAGGAGGGCCGCGACGATGACGAAGATACCCATGCCGAATAAGAGCATGAGGATCAACTTTTGCTTCAAAGGGACGCGCACTTGGACCAAGAGGGGGATTCCAATGAGAAGCATGAACACATCCGCGGAGATGGAGATAACGCCTTGGACGATCTCATAGTACTGATATGTCGAACATTGCTCTATCGCGCAGTCAGCAAGAGGCGTATACAAGCCATTTTTGCAGAAGATTGACTTGCCGTACGAAGTCGGCACAGCCCAGTAATTGTGGATAGGTCGACAGATGAGGAACAGGGACAGTTCGGTTGCCACGAATCCAAGGGCAACGTAGATGGAGAGGTAATTGACCCATTTTCTTTGGCGCAGTCCCTCCCTATAACATACCCAAGAGTCAGCATCCAGCACAGTCACAAGTCATTGATGATCATACGTGATGCGAGCATAAATCACCAGCATGCAGGCCTTCATCGCCCAGATGGCAAGGAGGAAGCAGTGCTCCGACACAAAAACCCATTTACTTCCGCGGATGCGATCAGCTTTGATGGTGGGTGTTAATGCTTTGATGTCATCCTCGCTCATCAGATTGGAGCCCCCGCCTGAAGCAACTTGATTGAGAGCAACACAAAGAAGCGTGTACCAAACGACAGCGAACATCATCAGATAATCGTCCGCCTGGAGATTGGTGACCCCCAACCGACGTATTCGTGCGATGCTACACTCCACCAAGAGGCCATGGTCAGCACCGCACTTGAAGACGAAGACGAGATATGTCTTCAAAATGCAACAAGTGGAAGACTACTACTCACAATCTCAGTACAGCACCCAGCACCCCGACACCATAGAGCGTCCATGTTTCCCGTGCAAAATTGCGTGCGAAAGCGGGGCTGAGACTGGACATCGTGCTGGAATGCAACCTGGAAAGCCACGAGGTGACCGGTCAATCGAGATCCTTTCCTGCAAGGGACCAACACCGGACAAGAGTCAGGGTAATATAAGTGAGGTGCACTCACATCTTTGCTAAGATAAGGTTGGGTACCGGCACGCCGGCCAGGGGAGAAAGGCGTCCACACTTGGTCAAGCAATCAAAAACGGCGAACCAGGATGTATGATCCCGGCTAGCTTGATGGCTGCGTGCGTAGAGAGATTATGGACTGAGAAGATAATGATCAAGAGGAGGAAGTGGGCGAACAACAGGCATGATCTTCAGGCTAGGCCGGATCAATCAGCCGGGGGTCGGTGATTGAATGGCCAGCGAAATGCATGCAAGGATGAGCCAAGGGTACATTCCAGGTACAGACACCGCACCACGGTTGGCTGCTTACTTTACCAGCTTCATCGTCATCGGAGCCATGACGAGTCCGTGATCCAGAGTAGACTTGTGTGTAACTTGCTAGGCCTATCTGGATCATGTATGGGGAGACCGGGAGAGGCGGGACTTTGAGCGGAAAAGATCAGCCATCACTCCACCGACTGCACCGACGTCCCACAAGGAATGCACCTAGCAGATGCACGCGTATGTGTACAAACTGTACTGCGTCAATGGATGGACCGCACTTTCTTTGACTTTGGGGAGGTGGGTCCCTTAATGCCGGCTAGTTGCAACTTAATTTGTATTCTAATCTCCACTTGGCCGAAAGCCATTTAATTCAATTCATGCACCACCAGCTGGACTCGGTCGAAGTCGAACTCTCTTCGTTGGAGCCAAATTTTCCCATTTTGGGTCTTGTATGCGAAAGACCTGGCATAAAGTTAGTCGTAGACCAGAACACTTAAGCACCGGCCGGCGAAAACTTAGCGTTATCGCACGTTACCGTCGGGGGAAATCGTCTCCAGCTGGCAGGGGGGTTTGCACCTGGGTGGCGTAATGCCCCAGTCCAAGTCGATCCTTCACTCAAGCGAAGTCTCCATGTTATGGCCACTCAGCCAGTGGAGTGTTTGGTCTTCGAGCCCTTGAAATCCATGGTGAAGGCCAATTGATTAATTCCAAACCCAGCAGCGTCTGGTGCAATATAGGGGGGAGGGAATTGTCTCCCGAGACAATATACGGAAATGGGGCGTGGCTTCCACCCACCGTTCATTACTATAAACGACACTAAGGTGCACCCCTGCTGCATGTGCGTAAGTACCGGTATGCCCTTAAGCGACATCACTGTTGCAGGTGGAGCTCCTCGTTCTGCTTCCCAAGGGTGCATGTAACATTGTAGAACTAGTCAATACTTTTGTTACCAGAAACTCAATCAAGCTGGAGCCAGTTCAATCCGTCCATCCGATGCAAAGACTCCCCACCCGATCGGACTACGACGCCTCGAATCGAGAGTAGGCAAACGGGGAAGGGTTCATTATTGCGATCGTAGGGTAGTTGGAAAGTATTCTGCAGATCCGCAAGTGACTTCGGTGCTTGCACCTCGCCCTCGTGTGCTGAATCAGTCAGTGATGGGAAAAATCGATGAAAATTTTTCTCGCCTACTGAGGTGGACTAGCAGGGATGTACGACGGTCCGGAAATAGTCTACACCTGCACGTTTAGCTTCGAGAATCCGCCGCTAAGCTCGTGCCATCTCGATCTTGACTCCTCGTTGGTGGGCTGGAGAACGAATGCCCATTGAACTTGTTTCACCAATCCACGGCCTGGAAGCATAATGGTCCGTGTTCTGGAACAGGAGGATTGTTCGGTCTCGGGGGCTCAATTACTAGGACACCCGGAGGACTATAGCCGTCACTCGTTCTGGTCATGTCCGCGTTGACGTGCTCGTTTGCATATCTCGTTTGTATCTTTCCTGGCAATCTTGCAAACTGTCAAGAGCGAGAGAATATAAAGGCTCCTTGAGTAAGACATGCGACACCAGTGGTGTCATTGAAGCCAACTTGTGTCAGCCCAAGGGTGGGATTTTGCCGCCAGAACCCGGCATTGCAGGGATTAGAAATGGGGCAGGTATTTGGAGAAAAAACACTAGTCGAATCCATCGTTCGAATACTTGAGAGTTCCGAAGTGAGTGGAGCAGGCAGTAAGTGATGCCACTACTGTAAATACTCTGTATCAGCATGCCAATTCTCTCTCCTTTCAGTGGGCTGAGTCAATTGCTCAATTGGACACTGTTGCTCGGAGCTAGGAATTGGAGGGTGCAGGTAGACTCAGCAGCACCTTGACTGTAGGAAAACGGCACTAGGTGATACATAGGCATAAGTCCGTGTTCCTATCTCAAGTAAATGGATGGGGAGAGTCAGGTCGACTCTAACTTATCAGTGAATAATGGGGATTGATAATGGAAGAAGGCTGAAGGAAGTACGGGAGTAACCAAGTAAATCAAGTCAACCAAGTAATCGATCGGCCTCGGCTCTGGAAAAACCCCGGCTTCTTGGCGTCCGGTGGCGGTCGCTGCCCGCTTGATAAGGCATCAATAGCTAATGCATAGAGGACGCCGCTGTACTCTAGTGCAATTCATTCATGCTTGCAGTTGAATGTACAGAACTCATGCTATCAATGTGTTGAGGCCTCTCAAAAGACGATAAGCGTGAAAAAAAAGCATACATAAATCGGTGCGTGCTTCGCTGCCTCTAGGCTCGACTTCTCTCGCTCTTTCTCTCTCCCACTCTCCCTCAACACGGGCCACACAGACCCAGTTATCTTTACCCCCAACAAGCTCTTATCAGCGCAAGCTCAAAATCGGTCAAACTGTTGTACCTGAGTTGGCCATTCTGGATGATGAAGTACTACGTAGGTAAGGCCATCCAGCATGTCGATGGTCGTTAACTTCCCCAGCTTCCCCGGATTGAGGAATGAGTTCTGATGTGTCAATAGACCCCATATGTGGAGCAAACAAGCATGTAAAGAGTTGAAAACCATGCAGACCAGACCCTCCTCCGTCCGTCTAGTTGCCGATGATAGACAGGGAGGACACATACCTAAAACCAACCTCGCAAGTTGAAGGCAGAAGGGAAAAAGTGGGCAAAGAGGCAAAGACTCCCAGAGAGTGTATCTGCTGAAGCTCCCCCTTTGGGACTAGTCGTTCTTCACGCCTTTCCTGCCTCTCCGCCAATCGGAGCCTTACATCAGCCAGAATGTCCCGTGATTGGGCGATAACGGCCCTTCCCACGCTGTGCTGGCCCCACCAGCTCTGATCACTTGGAGTATACGGAGGGAGTACATCTCTCATTCATCCCTCCCTCGCTCGCCTCTATAAGCTCTCGTCCTCGCCCACAGTGCCCTCTGGCTCTTCTTCTTGTGTCCCTGTGCTCTCTCGCCGCTACAGAACTGGGAGAAAGAGGCAATGATCGTTTTCAACCTGTGATTCTTCGGCCAGCCCTGACCTCGACTATCTCGTCATTTTGTCAATCACACACAAGCCACACAGATCAGCGATAAACTACAAGAGCCTTCATACGACTTAACCAGCAGCTGCAGCTGCCGCCCTATTAAGCGTCCTGACGAATCTTTGCCCCCATTCGTCGTTGATTCACCTTCCACGAACCATATCACTATCCCCGCCGAGTCCGACCCCGACATGACGACAGAGAAGATAGCAGAGAAGTTAGACCCCATTGATGCAGGGGAGGATGGATCATCTGTGGAGGTAGTCAATGTTTCGGGCCACCGTCAGGAAGTCGACCGCAATTTCAGCCTGTTAAGCATCTGTGCCGTGGCTGTCACGACCGGAAACACATGGATTGCCCAGGGTGGCAGTGTGGTATGCTACGAATAGTCTTCCGTCAGTGCTAGGAGATTGGACTGACGGTATCCAGACCACGGCCTTAAGCAATGGAGGCCCGTCAGGTGTGATATATGAATTGTACGGCCCTCGTCTTCCCTCAATCACGGGTAAAGTGTGCTAACATGATCCCAGTATCGCCGTGTCTGTATGCTACTGGTTAGTTGCAGCCTCGATTGCAGAACTGGCATCTGGTATGCCATCTGCCAGTGGAGGTAGGTAGATCTTGACTCTTGTGGGATACCCCTCTCTCTAACGTCTATCCCAGTCTACCACTGGGCTACCGTCACTGCGGGCAGATACGGACGGGTGTGCGGGTTCTTTGCCGGGCTCTGGAACTCGCTGGCATGGATCCTAGGCGCAGCCTCGATGTCAGCTATCCTTGGACAGCAAACAGTGTCGATGTACGCCCTCATGCACCCTGGCTTTGTGCCTCAGTCCTGGCATATCTTCGTGAGCTTCGTCATCTGCACCTGGATGTGCTGCTGTATTGTGCTCTTCATGAATCGGTGGCTTCCTCACATCGGCAATCTCGGCCTGTTCTTCATCCTTGCCGGTGTGTTCATCACCATCGTTGTCTGTGCCGTGATGCCGCACATCAACGGCACCGGCTACGCAGCCAGCAAGGAGGTCTGGAGCTCCTGGCAAAACGACACCGGCTACTCCAGCCAAGGCTTTGTCTTCGTGGCAGGCATGCTCAACGGCGCGTACAGCGTTGGCACACCGGACTGCTCATCTCACCTCGCCGAGGAGATTCCCCAGTAAGCCGCCCCCTAGTTCCTGCAACAGTCCCAACCCTAACCTCACCTTCCAGACCAAGCCGCAACATCCCGAAGGCCGTCCTCGCGCAAATGACCGTCGGCTTCCTCACGGGCATCGTGTACATGATCGCGCTCTTCTACAGCATCACCGACCTCTCCGCCGTGCTCAACAGCGTCTACGGCTTCCCCCTGGCCGAGATCTACTACCAAGCGACCGGCACCCGCGGCGGGGCATTGGGCCTGCTGATCGTCGCCTTCCTCCCGACGGTGATCACCTGCGCCGGATGTTACATTACAGCCGGCCGCACGCTGTGGACGATCTCGCGGGACCAAGCGACGCCCTTCCACAGCTGGCTGGGCCACATCAACACGCGCATGCACAACCCGTTCAACGCGACGCTCGTGTGCGGCGGCATGGTCACGGTGCTGGCGTGCATCTACGTCGGGTCGACGACGGCCTTCAACGCCTTCGTGGGCTGCTTCGTCCAGCTCTCCAGCCTCTCCTACTTCGCCGCCATCTTCCCGCACCTGCTCACGCGCCGCGCCTCCTTCGCCCCCGGCCACTTCTGGATGCCCGGCCCGCTCGGCTACGTCGTCAACGCCCTGAGCTGCGTCTACATCCTC